TGGGGCAGCTGTTGAGCTGCCAGGATTGCAGGAATGCTCTGGTCCCAGGGTTGGGCTGCTGGGAGCTCCCTGACCTCCTGTGGGTGCTCAGGCTGTAATTCTGCTGTGCCTGGGACATGGGGGCAGTCTCGGTTCCCTGCTGGGTTCCTCTGCCTGATGCTGTCAGGAAGGACAGGGATACCCAGAATGGTGCAGAGCCTTGCTGCTGGAAATAAAATTCTAGGAGAAATTCCACGGGCATCCCTTGTGCTTGTTAAGTGTTGGGAGCAGAGTGTGAGCTGGGCTTGTTCATTCCTTGCTGTGTTCTGTTCACTTCCAGCAGAGCCACACAGTTACAATTAGAGATTCTGTGTAAGCGGCATCTTCCCAGCATCCACACTCAATCTTTGGCTGTTGGAATATCACCAAAACCACAGCTGTGGAGCTGGCAGGCAAAAACTGTTTTATTATCTCCTTTTTCACCTTCTCTTTGGTCTGTAGATAAATCCGTCCTGTGAGCCCTTACAGGGAGATTTGTTGTTTATATCCAGGGAGATTTGGTACAGTTGTTAAAAATTGGGAGCATCTTTCTCTTGCACAGCACTGGCATGCTGAGCAGCCTCCTGGAGCTCAAGTGTCCCTTCAGAAGTAGGAAACAGGTCTTTAAATTATAATTTGCCGCTCTTTTATGACACTGCAGTGTGGAGCTGCTCTGTCAGGCTGTAGAATCCAAGTCCCTGAAAATCAGACTCCAGGAGTTTTAGACTGAAGCCCTTTTAAGGAACTGATGCTGTAAATTGTCTTGTCAAGCTCTGTGTTTAGATTTGTGGTGTTAAGGAGCTGGAGCAGCTTTTTCAGTCAAAAAAGAGAGAAGTGCTATAAATAATATTTTAAAAAGAAAATCTTTCAAGATTTTTGCAAAACCTGTCACTGTGCGTGGCTGGGATACAAGAGCTGTGTGGGGCTGGTGGGTAGGGTAGGTGATGGAGATGCCAGGATTTTCACCAGTCTGAAATTTCGATGATTCTGTTGAAATAAAAAAGGAAAAAATATATTTAGAGCAGCAATATCTGCTGGCTTGGACAAAATCCATGGGGGAATTGGGACCTGTGCATCCAGAGGAGGTTGGAGAGCTGAAATAGGGTCTTGCTGGCATCGTGGTAAAAGCTATCAATGGTTTTAGAGTAAGGAATCCTCTCTCTGATGATCTTAGCACATCCATAACAGCACTGGTCTTGCCACAAACCTGATTTTGGGGATATCTCTCCATGATTCCTGTCCTGCTCTGTCTGGAGCTGGCTGCCTGGGCTGGCCAGTGTTGCCTTGGGCCAATCACTCAGGGCTTCCATGGTGTCGTGGTTTTAAACCAATAACTAAGAAAATTACTAATTTCTTGCTGTGAGATATGGATTAGAACAAGAGCAAAACAGGCATAAAACTTAAAAGGAAAAAAAAAAGAAAGTTTATTGACAAAAGAAAGTTATTGACAAACTACAATAATAAGAACACCAGAATAAACTTCCAGAAAAAACCTTTTCATCCCCTATCTACCCACTATTCCCTTGTTCACATGACAACAGAATCATCGAAAAACAAACAAAAAACTTGGAACTTTGATGGTTAAAACAGTCCCAATTCTTGCTACAGTCTTTTCACCAGTCTTTGTAGAGAAACAGAAGTTTCTTCCTGTTAATTTATGGAGTTTCTCACAAGAAAACTATTTTTGTTATAGTTTTCCATTGCCCTAATGTTAGCTGCCCAGAGCTGCTATTATTAGAGTTCACTCCTCCCATTTTCACATCACTCTGAAGTGTGTATGGGCCATGAGTCTAGAGATAGCATTTTTAAGGATAAGTTATTCAAAGGCAAAAAAGTCTTCTTCATCTGTTTCTGTGAGCTTCACCAGAAAACAGTTTTCTCATTGCCTCTCAAGGCTTCAAATCTCCCAGCACTTCACTATACCATAATTACTCTACTTTTTACTCAAATTTACACTTTGAACACTTTATTCCTCTCTAGATCCTGTATCATGAATTAAAGGAGTTCTTTTCAGGACTTCATTGTCCATCTCCATAGTTTTAACAGGGAGATATTTCAGCTTAATTAAAGCATCTTCTTAATTCTCTACCTTTCCTGAAGCTTCTTTTCTTTCCTGTCACTGGTAGTTTATAAAGTCTCTTTTCATGTTGATCTCTCTCTCTCTCTTTCTCTGGATAAAAAGATTAATCCGCAAGTCTCATCTGGGTAATGAAAGAGTTAAAATCTTGCCCAGGCTTTTGTAGATGGTTCGGTGATCTCTGCTGAACAGGAGCTGGAGCCGTCTGCGATGGAAGGTTCCTCATAGCTGCTCTGGAGAGTGTGGCTGTCTCTGCTTGCTGCAGGTCCTGAGCCTCTCTCCTTCTTCACTCAGCAGTTTCTAGTGAATTAGTTACAGCAAAACCTGCAGCCGAGCCAGAGATCGGCTCGGCCTGGCCCAGGCCCGAGGAAAACCTTCCCCAGGCCCCCCCATCTCCCGGCCGGGAGCCGCGGCAGGCCCGGCCCAGTCCCCGCCCGGCCGCATGGCCTGGGCAGGGAACGGGAGGCCTGGAGCTCTGCCACCCTTCACAGCCAGGAAACAAAGAGAGCCCAGAGAGCTCTGCTTTTACACTTTAAGGTAGGGTTCACAAGTTGATCCCACTTTTTAATGGCCTAAACTGCTGTCAATTCCCAGCAGTGACCGATAATTGGTCAGGAGAAAAGACTCCAAGCACTTCCCAGCAACTCCAACTCCCTTAAAGGTCAAGTAACTCCATGACACATGGAGTGTGTCCTGATGCTTTGGGATCTTGCTTCTGGGAAAAGGGACATACAGGTGTTGATATGATGATGTTTGCTGTCCCCTGGTTGGTTGGGTGGGTGTTTTAGTCCTCTCTGTGGTATTTTGGGATATTTTTTCTCTGTGGTGTGTCCTGGCCAGGACTCTCTCCAAGGCTGTCATTCCCCCCAGCCTCCCCTGCACAGCTCTAATTTTGGCTCTCCGAGAGCGAATCCCAGCGGTTTTTGCTCCCTCTCAGAGCTAAAAAATCCCGGAGGCTCAGCCGCCGCCACCTCTGTGTGCTCCATGTCCACGTTTAACCTCCCTCAGCCAGGTGCTCTCCAAACTCAGTGCTCTGAGCGCTGCGGGAAGGGGAGAACCGGGAAATCTGCCGGGATCACGTTATGCAAGAGCCGAGTGTGAGCGGTGAATAAGCAGATCCAGCTGACCACAAGGGCTCTGAAGGGCACCTCTGCTTCTTTCCCCATGTGTGGACATAGGAGATCGCTGTTGGCTCCAGGCTGGGTCAGGTGCCTGCCTCGTGTGTGGGTGCTGATTGATAGGAATTGATTTCCCATGTGGATTGGCACGGGAAGGGAGCTGGGAGAGCAACATCCCCGTTTTCTTGGGAAACTCTTTGAACATCTGGAGTTGATTTAGTGCAGTCACCTTGGAGACCTTGGCTTTGTGGACAAGAGAAAATTATTTTAGCAGCTCTCTCAAGGTATGAAGAGATCCCTTCTGGGAATGTATGTGCTGCAGTGTGAAGGGATCACTTGGGAATGAAAATCTGGGCTTGATTCCTTTGGAGCCAAGTCATCCCCTGCAAAAAGTGTAACCATGCTGTGCACTGGGTCTGAACTTACCCTGTGGTGCTGAGAGACACAAACTCGAAGTCTTTAGGAGGCACCAGGAGGATTTCATGTCAGGTTTGGATATGGCCCTGCAATAAATCTGTCCCACAAAGCAGTGTCAGGGCAGAGCAGGTGAGAGATGTCATTGAGATGTTTGGGAGGTTTGAGGATTTGAGTTCCTGGTGAGGCAGAGTGGTTGCCATCTGTATAACAAGCAGGAATCAGGTTGGCAGTGGGTATCCCTGGATTACTGCCCACTCTTCCCTGGGAGGGGCCGTATCTCCATCCTGTAATGAACTTGATCACCAGCGCTTCCTGGAGCAGCTCTAGGCTGTGCCTGGAAAAGCTCCTTGCTCTGATGTTCATGTGGAATTACAGAGTCCTTGAGGTTGGAAAACCCTTTGAGATCATTGAGGTCAGTCATTAACCTGCCACCGGCAATGCCACCACTGCCTCATGTCCCCAAGTGCCACATCCACATGGCTGTTAAATCCCTCCAGGGATGGGGACTCCAAACCTCCCTGGGCAGCCCGTGCCAAGGCCTGACCACGCTTTCCATGCAGAAACTCCTCCTTATGTCCAACCTGAGCCTCCCCTGGCCCAGCCTGAGGCTGTTCCCTCTCCTCCTGTCCCTGTTCCCTTGGAGCAGAGCCCGACCCTCCCCGGCTGTCCCCTCCTGGCAGGGAGTTGTGCAGAGCCACAAGGGCCCCCTGAGCCTCCTTTGCTCCAGGCTGAGCCCCTTTCCCAGCTCCCTCAGCCGCTCCTGGGGCTCCAGCCCCTTCCCCAGCTCCATTCCCTGCCCTGGACACGCTGCAGCCCCTCCAGGGCTCTCTTGTCAGGAGGGTCCCAGAGCTGCCCCAGCACTGGAGGTGCCCCAGCAGGGCCAGCACAGGGGACGGGCCCTGCCCTGCTCCTGCTGCCCCCCAGGGCTGGGACATACGAGGTCTAAGCACACTTGGACAAAAACAATGATGGAATGGAGAGGGCATAAAGAGCCACAAAATGCTGGATTCTGGAGCTGGGACAGCTGGGAGAAGGAAGAAAAGCAGCTGTGGAAATGAGATGAGAAAGCCAGTGTTGCATAGTTGGTAACTTTGCTTTTAGAGCAGCCAGAAGCAGTGGACACAGTGGGACGTGAATGTGTAAGGAATGATGGGGTGTTGCTCCTCCAAGGGAACCTGCTCCATCTAAACACCTCAGCCTGTCCTTGTTTCTCTGTTTGTCCATCTTTTCCAGCTTTAGTGGATTGGATGTGAGTGCTGCCAGCTCAGGATGTCTCCACAGGTCTGTGCTGTGCAGGAAGGTGCCTTGGAGGCGTTCTGGGGTCAGGTACAGAGGCACTGACACTTTCTTGTCCCTCTGTTGCTGTGCAGGACGCAGGCGGAGATGGCTCACACGTGCCGAGGCACCATCAACCTGTCCACGGCCCACATCGACACGGAGGACTCGTGCAACATCGTGCTGTCCAACGGGGGCAGGACCTATCACCTGAAGGCCAACTCGGAGGTGGAGAGGCAGCGCTGGGTCACGGCCCTGGAGCTGGCCAAGGCCAAGGCCATCCGCATGCGGAACAACCAGTCAGGTACGGTGCACCTGATGGGCAGCCAGAGCCTTCCAGCTCCTCCTGGTCACCCAGCTCTCCTGGGCTTGTTAAATGGTGCAGAACCCACCCAGGTATGGTTTCACACATAGCTGGGAGTTGCTGATGGTCTCCCAGGGACACAAAGGGTTGGGCACAGCCCTGCTACACCTGTGATATCTCAGCTGCCTGGGCAACTCTGAGCAGGTCTGGGAATGGCTGTAAATTGTGGAGAGGCAGTAACAATGAGCTAATGATGCTGCTTCTGGAAGGCAGAATGACGAGTCTTTCTCCTGGAGACTTTGTGCTGGGAATGCTGTAAATGCTGTGGTCAGAGGCCTGGGCACCACGTGGATGGTGTTCCATAGCTTGGGGAGGTTTGGTGGATGAATGACACAGATATTTAGCTGAGCTGTTTCCGTGTGCATCTCTCCTTCTATCCCTTTGTTGTGGTGTTTATTGGAGTAGGTTTGGGACAGCTACACTTCGTAAAGCTGTCAGAGCCCTGTGCCTGGTCCAGAGCTCCTCCCCAGGGTCACCTTGTTCTGCTCCGTAATGGGTCAGTTGGGTCAGCTAGGCTTGACAAACAGAATATTTTAGAAATACTTCAATGATTCTGTGAGTCTGTATTTCAATGCTTCTGGGGTTAACATTGGGTTTTCTTCAAGCACACACAGCTTCAAGCTGCAGTAAACAAACTTCAGAAATGGAGAAGAGAAGGCTCCAGGAGACCTTAAAGCACCTTCCAGTGCCTGCAGGAGCTCCAGGAGAGATGGAGAGGGACTTGGGACAGGGGTGCCAGGGCAAGGGGGAATGGCTTACCACTGCCAGAGGGCAGGGATGGATGGGATATTGGGCAGGAATTGTTCCCTGGCAGGGTGGGCAGGCGCTGGCACAGGGTGCCCAGAGCAGCTGGGGCTGCCCCTGGATCCCTGGCAGTGCCCAAGGCCAGGTTGGACATTGGGGCTTGGAGCAGCCTGGGACAGTGGGAGGTGTTCCTACCATGGCAGGGAGTTGGAGTACTTGATATTCAAAGTCCCAGCCCAAACCATTCTGTGACTTTCAAGTGCTGTGAACTTTCTGTCCCTTAAAATTCCAGCTCTGGAATATGCAAATACTGACAGAGAGCCCAGCTGATCCAGGAGAAGGGGAGAGTTTCTGGGCACGCTTGTTTAGCTGGGCAGGTGGGACTCTGTGCTGGCCATGGCTGCACTGAGGTGCCTGTGGGGACTGTCGAGTCCTTTAGCTGGGTGGGTGTGTGGAGAAGGATCTGGAGAGGGAGGTGTGGGAAAGGATCTCCTGGAGATGTGGTGTGTGGCTTTACCTTCCCTTTGGGACCGTAGGGCTGTGGCAGTGCTGGGTGGAGCGGTCACAGGGGCTGTCAGCCACGCTGCCTCCTGAGTCAGGCACAGCTATTTTGGTTTGTGTCTGCCCATAAAAATAGCAAATGCAGAGCCTGGCTGTGCTGAGCTCTGGCTCTGGGCTCTCTGGGCTGAGAGCAGTGCTGTGACTGTGACTGCGCTTCCCTGTGGCTCTGCTGACTCAGCTCTGGTCCAGGCCATGGAGCTGATGGGAGAGAAAATCTGCACCAGATTCCTGCTTTTCCAAGCTTTCCTGATCTCATCAGAGGGGATAAGACACTGTAAATGGGCGCTGAATCCTGTGCTGTGGAGGTAGAGCTGAGCACATCAGTGAATTAATTTATGCCTTAATGTTCACCTGCCTGATGGTCCCAATTAGAGAGCTTTTAATTATAGTAAAGAGTGACTGTGTGTTTGGCTTGAATCAAAATAGAATTCCTGATGTTGTGCCCCTACTGGGTTGGATGTTTACAAGTAAAGGGAAGAAGTTCTGGATTTGCTGTAGAAATCCCCAGTCCTTCAAGTCTGCTCATGTGCAGAATTGTCTGAGTTGCCCACTCTTATCCTGAGGGATACCCAAAATCTGTGTGCTCCCCCAGGGCTGCTCTGCAGAGCCCAGGTGGGCTCTGAGGAGTGCAAAGGGTGGTGAAGCAGCTGAAGGGATTTGTGCTCTCAAGGAGGAGCATCCATGGCTCTGGGAGGCCAGAAGGTGGGGAGAGGGTGGCAGAGGGGGCAGGTTTGTTTCTGATGCTGTCTGTCATTCTGGGAAAGGACACAGAGAGCATCCTTGTGGCCATCTGTGCTCATGGGCACTGCCTGCTGCCCTGCCTGCTTCAGAGACACCTCTCCTCACCACCCTCACAGGGAAGAGTTTCTTCCCAATATTCCATCTATCCCTGCCCTCTGGCAGTGGGAAGCCATTCCCTGTGTCCTGTCCCTCCATCCCTTGTCCCCAGTCCCTCTCCAGCTCTCCTGGAGCCCCTTTAGGCCCTGGAAGGGACTCTGAGGTGTCCCTGGAGCCTTCTCTCCTGGTGAACACCCCCAGCTCTCCCAGCCTGGCTCCAGCCCTTGGAGCAGCTCCATGGCCTCCTCTGGACTGGCTCCAGCAGCTCCAGGTCCCTCCTGTGCAGGGCCCCAGGGCTGGGGCAGGTCTGCAGGTGAGGTCTCACCTGAGTGGGGCAGAGGGACAGAATCCCCCCCCAGCCACTGCCCACACTGGGGCTCAGCCCAGGGCAGGGGGGTTTCAGAGCCAGGGCATGGCAGCCCTCACCCAGCTGCACCCCAAAGTCTTGTCCCCAGGGCTGCTCTCAAGGAATTACTCTCCCAGACTGTGCTCACAGCTGAGATTGCCCTGACCTGGATGCAGGACCTGGCACTTGGACTTGTTGAACCTTGTGAGGTTCTCCTGGGCCCTCTCCAGCTTTCCACCCCCCTGGATGTCCCCATCCTTCTGTTGTGTCGACTGCACCGCTCAGCCTTGAACCACCCTTCAATTGTGGTGGTTCAATCAATCACCTATTCCAATGCTCTCCTGATCCAGAAAGCTTCTGGATCATGAGCTGGGATTTTATTCACTGTTTCTGCAGGAATCAGTGATCCCAGTGCTGTCAGGGCATTTGGGATTTGATGGGAAATTTGGTGGGTCGAAGGACTGGCAAATTGCTGCCCATATCTTCACTGCTGGGTCACCATTTTGGGGTCGATGAAAAGGGTTTTTTCCCCAGGAGTTCTCCTGAATTGAGCAGCTGTGGAAGTGTTTTTAACTCAGCTGCTGGCTGAAGCTGTGCACCCACAGTGGCCATTCACAGGACTGCTTTTCATATCTGTTTTTAACAGCAAACCTGTCCCCAGACCAATACGGGGTGGGAGACTTTGCTGTTCTGTGCATGGGGGAGCTCTGGTTTCCCCTCTGCCCACTCTGGAGTCAGGAGTATTTTGGTAACGAGCTGGGACCTGGGACCTTGGTACTGGGAGATGTGACCTGAGCTCCCTGTCCTCATCCTGCTTCCCAGGGAGAAACCTGCCCAGGGATTCTGCACGGATTAGCGGCAGAAAGTGAGAGCAGAGCTGAGCTGCTGGCTTATCTCTCTCCTCAATTAGCACATGTGCTTAATTCCTCCATGCAGAGTGTGACAGGAGGACAGGACAGTCCCATCCCAGACCAAGCTCTGCTCAGCCAAACCTGGCATTCCTTTTTCTAGGTGGGATTGCAAAGTGTTGGGAAAGTTGTAGTAAACTCAATTTGTCCACATCCAGCTCCATCACCTGCTTTTATCAGCACTGGCTGTGGCCCTGTGTTGTTACCTGGCCTGAAAATCAGATTTCTGCATTCACCCTCTGTATTTGGTGACTGTAGGTGGTGGATTTTCTTCAAACAAATACAAAAATAGATACAAAACTATCCTTTCTTTTTAGAGCAGTATCATGACATCCAGGAATTATATGATTGCTGAATATATGAGGATTGTTCTCTTGGCTCTGTAATAAGAGGGTCTTTGGAAAAGTGTACAAGGGAAGGGTGGAAATCTGTTCTTGGTATTTTAAGCACTAGGAAAACTCCCCAAAATGGGCTTGGGCTGCTTGGAAAGGGAGTTGGTGACTCCTTTTGGTTCCTTGCTTGGGGATTCCTGGCAGGAGAGAGGGTGGAAGCCGTGTTGTAATTCCAATGCTCTCCTGATCCAGAGCAGATTCCAGAAAGTGATTTTGGTGTTCATGGTGCTGAAATCCAGGAGTTCACTGGACAGGTCAGTGCTGCTATCTGTGCCAAGAACAATTCACCTGCCAGCCACTCTCAGAGGCATCTGGTTCCTTTGGCTGAGGCTGGAGTCAGTGCAGCAGAAAAACTGGGAATTGATAATCAGAGTGGAAAAGAAGGAATGAAGGTTTGCTCTGTGTGCTGCTGTGATCTCTTTCCTAGAGAAGCCCTGTCTCTTCTCACAGTGGCTCACAGGGTTTTCAGCAGAACTTGAAAAGAAAACCCAAACAACCAAACAGGCACAAGATTAACCAGAGAAATAAGAGCTCCTCTGACAAGGGAAGGAGGATGATGGAAAGTAAATTTTTCATCTGGGAGAGGGACAGCTGAAGGTGCTGCATGGATGATAGTCAGTGGTGCAGGAAATGTGCTGGAGCCCCAGGAGGGGCTGAGGGAGCTGGGAAAGGGGCTCAGCCTGGAGAAAAGGAGGCTCAGGGGGCCCTTGTGGCTCTGCACAACTCCCTGCCAGGAGGGGACAGCCGGGGAGGGTCGGGCTCTGCTCCCAGGGAACAGGGACAGGAGGAGAGGGAATGGCCTCAGGCTGCGCCAGGGGAGGCTCAGGGTGAATTTTGGGAAATGTTTTTCATGGAAAGAGCTGTCCAGCCCTGGCACAGCTGCCTAGGGCAGGGGTGGATCCCCATCTCTGAAGGGGTGGATGTGGCACTTGGGGACATGGGTTATTGGTGGCCTTGGTAGTTCTAGATTAATGGTTAGACTGATCTTAAAGGTCTTTTCCAGCCTCAACATTTCTGTGAATGTCTGAGTCTAGGAAAATTTGGGGATGAGTGCTTATAACAAGAGAAAGGAGGGAATTAACAGGTCATAAATGGAGCAAGAATAATTAATATTTTGTACAACATCCAATTAAATGGTGGCACTTGCTGCCG